AGTCAGCGTGGGCGCTAACTTTCTTGCTTTGGGTATCCCTAATATCGATATCCGACAGTAGGCGATGTCCCCGTCGACAACGAGGCGCTAGTGGTGACTTTGTGAATCTCAAGATCTGCCGGCTTAGTCCTTCGGAGGTGTTCATTGGGGTAGGGTTTGCATACGCGTGTTCATACAAGTGAGTGTGTGTACTTATTGTAGACGTCGTACGGTGTAATTCTCAAAGAGAGAGAGAGGGAAAGAAAGGTACATAATATGGTTCTTTATGAACTGAATTGTTTAGATCAGTTGGAGCTTTGCTTATCAGCTAACGACTTATTTTAGCCAATACAAACAGCACTATAGACCTGGCGTGAAAAGTTCTTGTCTCGTGTGCGCACCATGCCGTTAGAAAAGGAAGGTTGACCTTTGGAGCTTCATACATAAGGGCAGACATGCAATAACCAAACAATAGAGGTATGAAAATGTAACAGCTCGAGACTGAACTGTGATGAGAGATTTGCGACGACCCCCCAAATGGGGAAAACCAGAGCTAATCCAAACCCCCGTCGATCCCTTCCAAATCCCATCTCCGATCCAATGCCTCCCACCGGCGACGACCCATCGGCCTCCGCCGGCATCTCCTTCCCCGACGCGGATGGCGGCGGCGGCGATTCTGAAGACGGCGACTTCGCCGACGCCCACCTCCTCGACCCCACCGATCCGGGCCTCCCCAACCCCACCACCTCCTCCGCCACCGGCCTGCCCCACGCGATCCCTGCGGCCGGGAGCGGCGGCGGCCCGGTCACCTCCGGCAACGGCGGGGAGCGGCGGCCCCTGTTCCAGCGCCTCTGGACCGAGGAGGACGAGATCGTGATCCTCCGCGGCTTCGCGGAGTTCACCGCCGCGCGCGGCACGGCGTTCGCGTCGCACCAGTACGACACCGACCCCTTCTACGAGGACATGCGCCGCCGCCTCCAGCTCGACTTCTCCAAGAGCCAGCTCGTCGAGAAACTCCGCCGCCTCAAGCGCAAGTACCGCAATTGCGTCTCCCGCCTCCGCGAGTCCGGCGCCACCTTCACCTTCCGCTCCCCGCACGAGCAGGCCATCTTTGAGATTGCGCGCAACATCTGGCGCCCCACAAATAAACACGGCCGCGATCCCTCGGCCGACTCTGACGATGAAGACGCCGCCGCCGCGACACAAGTACCTGCCAACATCAGCCCCAACGGAGAAGTCAAGTCCCCGTCCTCTGCACGGCAGCGTCGCCGCAGGCGGGTGACGGAATTCAACCCTGCCACTGGCGCCGCCCCTGCCACAAACATGTTGCAGCCCCCTCAGCCAGTGCAATTGTCTGTGTCAGTGCCTGTCAAGATGGATGACTCCCTCCCAGCACAGCCCCAGACTCCAATGCCAGTGATGGTGACCATGGATGGCTCAGAGCCTCTCAGGTTGCCAGTCGTGTCGCCTCAATCAGGAATTTCTGATGCTGAGAAGACTTGCCTGACTCCTCTATTTAAGGAGATGATACGCGCAGCGATAAATGTCGGAGCAAACCCTTTTGGTGCAAAACTGCCTGAGCCGCCACTTGGGTTGCCCATGGAAGGGGAGAAGTGGCGGAAGCAGCGGATTCTGGAGCTGGAGGTGTACTTGAAGAGGATCGAGCTGCTGCAGGATCAGGCGAAGGCAACGCTTGAGGAGCTCAAGTCCTCGACCCCAGGGACTTAATCCATGATAAGATGAGATCTCTTTCGTTTTAGGATTCTTGCTCTGATTCTTAGTGTAGATGCTTAGGCATTTTTGCATATTTTACGTCCATAAAAGAATATTGTTAACCTGGTTGGGGCCTGGAACTAGTTTATTTATTGTTCTATATGTTCATGTGACATTAGCTTCCATTTATGATCTTCTTTCTTTATAACATAGGTTCATGGTCCTTTGTTTACTGTGGTAGCGGTATGCTTTGAGTGAACAGTAAGGTACCCTATAGAAAGATGAATTATTGCAATCAATTTATTAAGATTACATATTATTGTTATTTTTTGTATTGGACCATTGATTTCGTATTCACTTTTGTGTCTGTCGTCAGCGAATTGTTATGATTATATCGAAGTGTCAAACTGGTTTATAATATTGATGACGAATAGACTTGTTTTAGAAAGGTCATGGAACTTGTATAGGGTAAAAGCGCATGATCTACGGATCTTCTTGAGAAAGGAAATACAAGTGAGTGGAAGTTCGATTCGTGTTGATAATGGTTATGCCCCCCCCCCCCCTTTTTTTTTTAAGATGCAGCCTTACAGTGTCATATATGCTTATTCCTCAAAGCACTGCAATTCTGGAGATATATGCCTTTGTGTGCATCAAATCTGTCATATATGCTTATTCCTCAAAGGCACTGTAATTGTTATTGGCAGATCCTTCTGGTCTGGTCTGGTCTATGCCTCCACGTGCTTATCTTCCCTCTCCCCAGTTCTGCTCTGTTATTGAAGACATGGGAGTAAACTTCATTTGCTTGATGGTTAACTCAGGAAACACCATTTTATAGTTCGCTGTGAGAGGTTCAATTAATGGATGGTGGACGCTATTTTAATTTCGGCATGGGTTGTGTTGTTTTCCTTCCAAAGCTCCCCATGTTAATTGATTAATAAGACTGAATTAACTGGATTCTATATCCTTGTGACTTTCAGCAATACATTTTGTTGGATATGTGTTCACTTGTGGCGCTATGGTTTCTTCATGGCTCCCGTTAACCATGCCATTGTTTGCTTATTCGTTGTCTTTTGTAAAAATTTGCAAGTCCATCATTTGATGTTCCAATGTTCGAACAGGTTGTGAGACGATTTTCCCTCACCCTTTTTAATTTTTGCCAGTCCAACATTCGAAATTGGAAGATATGTCCACTTGGCTGGTGACTTCAATGGGGCATTGCAAGTTTTGTTACTAGTGCTACGTACCGCCTATGATATCACAAGTTCTTCGCTTGGTTGTTGCTTGAAGCGTGGCCTTGCAACCCTATACTATGCGATCAAGAGCAAGAACCGCTGCGCATCTCTATCTGACTAGCTGCTGAGAGCAGGGCTGGACCCTAATGGTGTGCAAGTTCGATGATCAAACTCCACAGTCCACACCTGTTTGCTTGGCTCTTGCTAGGGAAGAGAATGGGTTAAGAATGTTGCTTTGACTTGTGGCCAGGCTGAAATTTTTTTCTATACATACCATGTTCGCTCGAACTTATCAGCCATGGTACAGGCTCTATGAAACTTGTGATTGATAAAGTCATCACATTCTATACTTTATTCTTTATTTATGGGCCCACTGATCTTGTGGTTGATAAAGTCATCACAGGTGTAGCATCGGTGGGAGTTGCCTACCACTAAAGAGATTATTCTCTGATAGTATTGGGCCTGTTCGGTAAGACTAAAAAATACTGTTCACGGTGATTGTTGTGAGAGAAAAATGCTGTTGTGGCAGAACGTAAACAGTGATTTCGTGAGGTGGCTGGCCGAACACTGACATTATCATGCATGCGGACCTGGAGACTCGAAACCAATTATTCAAATAGCCATGTTTCACCACAATCAATTGAACGAAATGACCCTCAGTTTCCTCTTTTTATGTAATTCTATTCTAGTAGCAAGTCCTTAAGTTTTCCCATGCAATACACATACAATAGGTTGTGCTGTGCATAGATGGGCTGCTGCTGGTGGTTTGTATCCACCACTACTATAAAAATAGATGTTGTAACACTCTTGTAACTTGCTATACACTACTATAAAAATAGCTGATGTAACACACTCTTGTAACTTACTTGCTATACACTCTTGTAGCCATCAATGTGCTACATAGTCTCTATAGGAGCATAAAACTATCGTCCCGTTCGCTTGGCTTATAAGCCGTACTTTTTCAGCCAACGAACAGTATTTTTCTCTCACAACAAATCAACCAATAGTACTTTCAGCCATGGCTTATCGGCCAAGCGAACAGAGCATATATCATTTATTGAGTATAAGAAATCGGTTAGTCGTTGTATCGAAAAATTATTATCCAAAATTCATATTATGGGAGAAAGCATTTCCATTGTCGCCCAAACAATGTATTTTTTTCCTTATATTCAATGTATACTTATAACCCCGTACTAATGTGTATATTAACAATAAAATCAAAGTTGATTTAGTGTGGCAATACCTATAATACTATATGCATTGACCTTTCCTTTTTTTTCTTTTTTTACTCCATTCGAAAAGCCAAAACGTATTATAATTTGGAATGGAGGGAGTGATTTTTTTTTAAAAAAAAGTCTAAATAACTATCTGTATACATAGATTATGTCGAGTTGGAGAAGCCGAAATTAGGTAAATATAAATATTGGTGAAGGTTTTGGATGTCTAAGGTCATTGTGAACATTTCACTTGATTATTATATGTCACCTTTATCATTGCTACACCCATCTCCAAACGGATGCATTTTCTAGGTTTGATCTAATAAGTCAGACTATTTAAAATTTGTCAGATTTTATCGAAAAATATTATTAATATTTATGATTCTAAATAAATATACTGTAAAAATATAGAATTGAATATTTTAAATCGCCTGCCCAGAAAGATGACACTCCATAATTACCTTCATACACTTGCTAAAATTCGTGTCAAAACATAGGTTAGCAGAATCGTGCCTGCGGTTCAGCAATTTGTGCGAGCCCAACGGCCATCAGACTGACCCAACTCCGCAGCATCAGCCATCGGAGGAATTTTTAACTTTTTGCCATCCTTACGGATGACACTCCTTCGTTTACCATTTTTATACGCGCTCCTACACAATTACCATCGAAAACAGTGAACCTCCTACGTATTTACCATTTTTGCTGACATGGCACGCCAGTGGACACGCCAGCGTGACAGTGAACCTGAGAAGGCCTACAGAGTATGTGAAATGACCTATTTACCCCTGTTGCTTCTCTCCCTCTACTCGCTAACACATGGGCCCCACACGTCAGCTTTGTCTTCAACCTCCAGCCACGGATGGGAGCCAGGCACCTCCAGCTTTGCCTTCGTGATGCCTGGCCAGTCCTTGTAATCTTTCCATCTTCTTTGCGATTACATTGGGCAACTGTGAGCACCTCTTTTTTACGAGCCGTCAATTTTTCATTTTAGCAGTAGTTGCACAAAGGAAGGTCTAAACTTGATAACTTACTATTTTAACAGGCTATTCAGAGCTGGCTTAACATCCCTATGGAAGATATCTTGGTATATCCTTAAACATTTCATTCACTAGTTCTCCCACAAAAAGTTTGTTCCGTTATGTATTTTGTGAATTCTTTCTCTAGAAGCAAATTATCCATTTATTTACTAGTATCATGATGATTGTAGTAGAATATAACACAATGAAGAAAGAAAGAAACCATAGGAAAAGTTTTGCAATTCCTGGCTAACCTGCATAAAGTTCTATTTGGAAACTGATGTAGCAGTGATTATCGTATGTATACAGGAAACTTGATATGCAAGTAAATCACATAGTTCAACAAGTCCTAAGCATGAAATAGAAAAAATATATTTCATTATGCTGATGAACGACATGGATCGTTGTCCTTTAGGTGGTATTGCCACATACTGGAGGATCACATAAAGCAGGATTCAGAGTGGTTTACTCAAACAATAAAGGAGATTTTCACTTGGATGGGGCATTCAACGTCATATCTTATGATGTACTCCCTCCATCCCAAATTGTAAGTCATTCCAAGAATCTTGGAGAGTCAAAGTTTTTCAAGTTTGACCAAATTTATATGACAAAATAATAATATTTATCATACCAAGTAAGTATCATTAGATTTTTCATTAGTTATATTTTCATATTATACCTATTTGATGTCATCAATCTTTGTGTTTCTCTCTATAATTTTAGTTAAACTTGAAAAAGTTTGACTCTCCAAGATTCTTGGAATGACTTACAATTTGGGATGGAGGGAGTAGTTCCCAAGATACAAAGCACACTTCTGGATTTGGATTTCAAGGTAGAATTTTTGTCTTATACTTCATTCCGTTTAAGGAGAAATGGAGAACAGAATATGCCCAAAGAACTATTTTTTTGAATAGGATTGTGTAGATATTAGCAATCCACATGCCAGAAACATGGTGTGAGCTACTGGTCCCCTTTATACTACTATTGTTACTACTATCACTACTACCTCTCCTTTTTTTTATCCTCTTACCTTTTGTTAGGGTTTCATCTCTAGTATATACCCTAACTTGCTTGGGACTAAAACACTTTGTTGTTGCTGTTCATTTCATTTGAACTTGAATTTGGGGAATTGTGTTTTCGATAATTTATTCCTCATTTCGTAGGTTTTGTTCAATATCTAGCTATTTAATGCAAACACAATAGCACACTTTTCCTGTTGAACAAGTCATTTTGAAGCATACTATGTTCACTACATCTCCAGAAGATTGATTTTACACCTGAATGGATATTTGTTGCGGAGCATAATCTTAAATTTGTGGTAGTATAGGAGCATCAAACTCGAGTAGATAAACAAGAGTTTGCATGTAGATTAGAGATTGCTTGGCTGTGACTGGAGCTTTCTTTTGTGGAACTTGATTTCAGCACTGGACGGAGTGATTTTTTTTTGGGTGTGTCTTAAGCATCATTTCTATATTAAGAGTACTGCTGCTGTCTTTGTAGGGTGGATTAGTATAGCTAGTTATTGAAATTACAGATACTTGGGGGATTGACTTATCACTTGATTGCACCTGAAGAAATGAGATTTCAACTAAACCTTCAGAAAAAAGGATCAACTACATTTCATAGAAATTTTTTGACTTCTTAGAAATACAATGATGTGCTGACATCTTCCATTTTGCATGAATGTAACAACTATTCGTCTTCTGATTGCAATGAATTTAACCACCAAATAGTTGTATGCATAATCTATCTATAACCTCTTTTAAATGATTTTCATCCAGATTGTTATAGCTGATGAATCACATTTTATGAAGAATGGCCAAGCGAAGAGAACGATTGCTTCACTTCCTGTTTTGCAGGTTTGGTGTTTCTTATGTGGACCTTTTTTCTTTGTGAGCATAAATATTATGTGCCCTAATTTGGACCAGTAGATATTGGTGTTGTGAAGTATATGTGGATTGCCCACCTCTTCCCAATGGCTTAAGCTTTTGGGTTCATCTGGTTGGCGCATGAAACATAACATGGTATCAAAACCAGAGGTCTCGAGTTCGAGTCCTGGCAGAGGCGTCATTTAAGTCCTCCACTCCTTTATTTCTACGTTTGTGCCTTGTATGTGGCTGCACGTGAGTGGGAGTGTTGTGAAGTATATGTGGATTGCCCACTCTTCCCAATGGCTTAAGCTATTGGGTTCATCTGGTTTGTGCATGAAACCTAACAGTTGGTAAGGTACTACACCTCATCAAAACAAAATTCGTGATTCTTAGATCATTAGTGTAAAGACCACACTGAAGAGGGCTGAACGGTGACTACTGAAGGTGGGCTTTAGGATGGGTGAGCCAGGGTGATACCACATACCAGACCAGGGTTGTTTAGAATTTAGGTCTCAAAAAGTTTCTTTTTGAACGAAAAAGGTCTCAAAAAGTCTAACTCATTCTTTACTTATAACAGCAGACCACCATCCCTCATCTACTGTATGGTTGTCTCCTAACAAAATCTCTAAACCAGATCTTGTCTTTATCTCTTATCCCTGACAAACATTTCTCTGACTCTCGAGCAGCTTATCTATTAGTTAAACAATAACCAACTAACCTGGGAGTGTTACTACAGCACCATGCAATATGATTCACAATTTCACCTGAACAATACAACATTACAACTGCTCATAACACATGTTGGGATACTTGCCCACTTATTTCATATATTTTTCTAGCAAACAGAAGTTCCAAACTTTCACAGAGGACTGCATGGTTCTGGTCTGATTGTGATGAATTTTTCCAGATAGTCTTGTGCTCTTGTTAGGTCCTGGTTTCTGAAGGCCAAAGTTTTTTTTTTTTGAGTCCATTATTCTTGTTTTAGGAAACATCTTGTTACTGCCTGATTAGGTGACCAATGATATCTTCTACCCAATGGATGCAAGAATTTGCAGAACCAACTAATTGTGATTTACAATCACAGAAAGCTCAATATGTTGTTTTGCTTAGTGGAACTCCTGCTTTGTCTCGCCCAATTGAGCTCTTTACTCAGGTAAATTTTGTTTCCATAGTTAGCTGCATATATTTAATGCTCAAAAGTAGAGTGACAACTACCTTTTCTGTATATCCAGATCCAGGCCTTGTATCCTACAGTGTACAAGAATGTTAATGAGTATGGCAATAGATATTGCAAGGGTGTAAGTACTAGATTTATCAAATTGCTTTCTTCATTTTCTGTTGCCAATTGTGACTAATTACGACATGACTTTGCAGGTTTTTTTCGGGTTGTATCAAGGTGCTAGCAATCACGAGGAGCTGCATAATTTGATGAAAGCAACTGTCATGATCCGTAGGTTGAAGAAAGATGTCCTTTCACAGTTGCCTGTTAAACGTAGACAACAGGTAGCCTTGTGGGTTTTTTTATAATCAACATAAGAAATATACATTAATTTTATTCTGTAAATTAGAAACATTCGATCAGTTCAAATCTGAGAATCCGTCTGTAGTAAATTTGAATTTTGTTTAAATCAACAGTTAAAGGTCCTTTGATCACTAGCATAGACCTTTCGAATCAGTGCCTCATTCGTAATTGTTTTCTGAACCTTTCTATGTTGGCTATATGCTTGTTTCTTTGCAATGCTTAAACTGTAACATTGAGAAGATCTGTTGATTCTTTTTGACGATCTTGCACAGTGAGTCAGTAAGATAACCTTTAGGATGTAGCTTTTATGTGAGCTTAGTTCCTGTTATACTGATATTTTTCTTGACTACACACAGATCTATGCTTAATCATTTAATTTTCGTCAACCTTTCAGGTCTTTCTAGATTTAAGTGAGAAAGATGTGAAAAATGTCCGTGCTCTGTTTATTGAGGTATTATCCATTTTATTCTTTGCCTGCAAATCATATATTGTAGAATATGAGAACACAACCAGTTTTAGGTAGCTAAACCTATCTGCATTTCATATAACCACATTATATGGTATCGTATGTAATTGTTTGCACCAGTGAAGATCTTTCACATGGCGTACTGGTTTAATCAGCAGTGAGTTATATGACTGTAATTTAACTAATCGAAAGGTACAAATTGTGAAAGCTAACTAGTTATTTGTTCTCACATTGTTCTAGAAAGTAAAGTTATTGTTGGAATTTTTTCCTTTGCAAGTTGCTATGGTGCTTTTGAAAAGTCTAATCTTCATTTTTTATATAAACTCAAACAGAGGGAAAGTATGTATTGCACTTAGTTTTCTTGCTGTACCTCTGCATGAATGCATCAGCACAACCATTGAAGTTACAATTTTACTTTAAGTAATTCTGAAACGGTGTGCATTTTGTTAGTTGGAGACTTTGAAGATCAAAATTGAGTCCTCTGACTCCAAAGAGATGATCGACTCTCTCAGATTTGCTTACCAGAATATTGTCAATAAGGTAATCTGAAAGTGCACCCCTTTATGATCCTATATACACTTGGTAGGTATTATTTTCTAAGTATTTTACTTTCTTAGTTACTAACTTACTATAAACCAAGACATGTAACTCTGCTAAAGCTGAAGTGTATTCTTACCATTTTTGAGGTACCCTTATCTTGGCATGTGTAGTGACTTTTAGTTATAAAAGTTATAAATTCTGCATCTTTCCAGTTCAAGGTTCTGTTGGCTTGTGACATGTAACTGAATTAGCCAATTTAGTAATTCCAAATTGTAGTTCTAAAATCTTTGGAGAGGTTATTTGTTCATTGGAATATCCATGTCAATTTCGTCGTCTTTCTTTTCCGCTCTTCTATGTGGTATTGTGGTGAAGCTCAACATTGAAATCAGGAGAATATTCCTTTCTATATTAACATATTAACATCATATTCAACTTTTGTTATTTGCACTTGGTTTGAATATTGATTCATGTTATTCATTTTTCTGTCATTTAGCTTACTGTGATTAGTCTGTATTTGTGCTTGTCTGGAAGTATGATTCTATTTTTCCTAATCACAGATCTATACTGATTCAGCTGTAGCCAAAATTCCAGCTGTGTTGGATTTCCTGGGTACTATGATTGAGGTGATCACCTGATATTATAATTCTATATATTTGTCAAATTACCCTTTTATTCTACCCTTGTGCTGGAATGTGCTAGTTAGTGCAGGTTCATTATTCCAAATGAGGATTATATTTTCACTTGCTGAAGCTGATAATGCTGTCGAGTTATCACCAATTGCCACTGACCTATACATGGCCCTCACAATTCTCCTGTGTCCCATTTTCTTTCATTGGGGATCACATTTTGACAGTGTATAATTTGAAAAAAGAAACAATATCCCTCCTATTCAAATTCTTTTTAAGCCAACTTGATTTTGTTGTATCATTGCATCAATAAACATACCTCCCCCCCACCACCACCACCACACACACACACACACACACACACATTGTTCACAGATTCCACTACGGATGTTTTATAAAAACCAACTTGATTCAACTTTAGTTAGATCTCAAAGTTGTTTTGGGAGGTTACAATAATGTTGCATTGCCAGGAATGGGCCATCCTTCTATGAACTGGCCCTCAAATTCCTTTTTTATCACATAAATGACAATGGTCTGTTGGCCCATTATTCTCATTTTAAATATGGTACAAAAACTTACAAACATATTTTTGTCTTTACAAGCAATATCTAAATTCTTTGCTTTACCATCTACATCCAGGCAGGTTGCAAGTTCTTAATATTTGCTCATCACCAACCCATGATTGATGCCATTGAGCAACATCTTTTGGTAAGAATCTAATAATGTATTTGATGTTTTACTCGTTTATGCTACACGTGGACCTACTATTTGCCACCATGTTTCAGAATAAGAAAGTAAAGTGTATCAAAATTGATGGCAAGACACCTTTAACTACAAGACAAACCTTAGTCACAGATTTCCAAGAGAACGATGACATCAAGGCAGCAGTGGTATGTTTTACTTATTCATATTCTATTTTGTACGCCCCCCCCCCCCCCCCCACCCCACAATACAGAAAGTCACAAAAATACTTTAATGTAAACACTAAAGACACTAGGCCCATAAACTAATCTATCTGCCTAACACTTATTACTGCGTGTGCATATTTAGCATTTGGGGATGCACACAAACATCGAAGAAATAAATAGAGAAAAAACAAAGAAAAAACTCACCTGCTGCCGCCAGAGACGGAGTTCGCTGGTGTTAGGGTTCGGGGTTCCCGGGGTGTTCCATGGTTTCTGGGCTTAGAAGGGGTCGCTGGGGAGGATGCTGGACTGATGGTTGAGATGGCGGTGGGGGTGCTGCTCACTCTGGCTGTGGGAGAGGCCAGTTGGGCGTGGGAGGTTGACTCCTTGGATACAGAGAAGTGTTCTGATGAAGGTTCGAAAACTATGTGGTTAATGAACTGACAATTAGCTCTGTTGGTTGAGGGTGTGGATGTACACCCAGGCCACCTCAAGTTTGAGTCCTCGGCAAGCTAAACTTTGGTGCCTATTTTCTTCTCATTATAAAGCTGCCTAGTTACTCCTAGGTTGGTGTAGTTCCTTTCGAACATTTGTAATTGACAGTCAAAATTTAGTCCCTGTTTGGCATAGCTCTAGCTCCCAGCTTCACCTCAAATCTGAAAGTTTGTTTGCTAAAATCGAGACCTTAAAGTCTTTTTTTTTCTTTGTCTAGAATAAAAGAAAACAGTTCACCCATACAACTTAGGTGCATCCACAGCTCTAGCTCCACAGATTTCTAGAGCTAGAATTACCCAGCTCTGCCAAATAAAGCCTACATATATGGTATTATCCAATGTTCAAACCATGCGGGCAGGTTATATAGATTTTCCTGGAGTGTTAATGGGTACAATCTAATGTGAGTATAACATACCAGTTATCCATCAAAGCCGGAGGCTATGGGATAACTTTGACAGCAGCGAGCACAGTAATCTTTGCTGAGTTGTCATGGACTCCTGGGGACATCATTCAAGCTGAAGATCGTGCTCATCGGATTGGTCAGGTGAATATCAGGCACATTACTTTGTAGCCAGCAGAGTCCTTTGATTCTTTTTTGTTGTATTATTTATTTGGTGGGGCTGCAATTTTGTTGTTGAAGTCTTCTTTGAATATTTATAAACTTTCTGTTGATAATTTGTTATTATTGTTTTATTTGATGGTACTGTGATTTTATTGTTGAAGTCTTCTTTGAATATTAATATACTTTCAGTTGATAATTTGATGTTCCACTTATAACAGCAGACGCATTCTTATTTTCTTCATGATTCCAGGTTTCATCAGTCAACGTATATTATCTTCTCGCGAACGGTACTGTAGATGATCTTATGTGGTATGTCCTGAACTTTGCTTTCCGTACTAAATGTGGCGATTTAGGTCATGTACTCAGCATAGGTCTTTTGTTGCTCTGGTTTTGTTTCCCAGGGACGCCGTTCAAGGCAAACTTGAGAATCTGGGGCAGGTTCTGAATCTCTCAAACCGGCATCTGAGTTTTTTTTTAAACCATGATTGACGCCATGAGTTGAGTTGGACTAAGGAAGCAACAATCTTGTTTTTGTTTTGTCAATTCATTCAGATGCTGGACGGGCAGGAGAACACGCTGGATGTTTCCCAGATTGATTGCAGGCCAAGTCCCTCGAAGCAGCGGAAGGCACTGGACGGCTAGGAAAACGAAGTATTTAAAGGTATTCATTTCAATAATATTATTGTTTTAAAAACATAAAAATCACATGGAATTCACGAATTCAGCCCAAAACAAAACAAAAGCATCCTAGGCGCTCTCTCCCTCCCTACCGATGGCCCAACAAGAAGGCCCAGTTTCCGGTGGCCCAACTTCTCCCCCGCCACTCCGCCAGGTCCCTGTCACGCACGCCGCACAGCAGAACACGGACGCCGCACGCGCCGTCGCGCGACATTGCCCGCTACTTTTCCCCAAACCCTAGCGGCTAGCGGCGGCGGGACTCCGGCGACGGCGCGTGGCGGCTGCAACGGCGTGCGCTGGGGCGGCGGCCGCATCTGGCTCGGGCGGCTATTAGGTTTTATGCTGTTAATTTCTTTTTTGGCAGCCCTTTGTATTTTGAATACCCATCCTTAAAATTCTGAGCCCGCCTGCCGATGAGCAAGAAGAGGAAGTCTCTGAATCCAGCCAACTCATTGAAAGACAGCGAACAAGTGTAAGCGTGTTGCCCAATTGTCATTTTACTAGTCTCTCCAGTTACGATTTGTGATGCACGCAGCTGCTGCTTATTGTTCTGTTGCTAATTCATTTACTGTTCTGTCCTTGAGCAGATTAGCCTCAGATTTCATCAGAGGAGACGATCTTGATGACCTATTATCGAAGCTTGTCAGGTAGCACCTGCTATTCTCTCGCCTTTTGTTTTTCTGTGTTGCTTCATTCTCATGTTGACAAGGGCGTAAAATGTATTTTTCCTTCTTCTGTAGGAGTGTGGAGAGTGCCAAGGCTTCAAGGGGAGGCTTACCAGAAAAGATATGGATGAAGGTATCATTATCCTTACCTTGGTTTCACCAGCTTTTTACCGTCATTGTTGGCAGTCTGTTCTGTTCTCCTGAGCAAGCTCAGTAGAATGCAGCTTCTCTCTCTCTTCCTCGCATTTTACGACTGTTTCAACTTGCAGCAACAATTTGCTATCGGGGTCAATGATGTCACACGGGTTCTCGAGCGAATGCCGCATTCTGTTACTGCTTCTCATTCTACTCAAAGGTCTAGTGAAGCACCAACTGTCTCAGGCCGACGTCAAGCTCCTTTGGTGCCATTGCAGGTTAATTTTTCTTTCCTAGTTTGCTGCTGGTGTACCTCTATAGGCAGTCTACAATGGAATTGTATTTCCATTTCCATTGTTTGTATATATGAGGTGCAAGGAAGTGGCTTCTTAGTCGCAGCATGTACTGGATTAACTGCACAATATTGTACCATTTTGATTTTATCAAAGAGAAAGACATCAAGTAATTTTTTCTTGAACTTTGGCCACCTCCAACTTATCTTTTGTTACATACTGTGATATAAAGCCTTAATAATCAATTCTTGCATCAAATATATGCCGCCTTCTCCAAAGTTCAAACGAAGTCATTTAAACTGTTTTATTTTACCATGTATAGCTTATTCTCTATCAGCTCCATACGCAACAATAAAATGAGCCAATTAAGGATACATGTTGATCATGTTCAACCAAGAGCAAAGAAGAAGGGCGAATTCAAGTGTCACATACATCGATGACCACAGTTTTTGTGACGAACACTGAAACTGACAAATATTTCTTATCTTATTAATGCAACATTGCAGGCTGTCCTTGTAGCTGCTGACTGCAACCCCAAATGGTTAACAAAACACATACCAACACTGGCATCTACAAGGCAGGTACCAGTGTTGTGCGTGAAGGACAAGAAGGAAGGCTCACTAAGGTTAGGTCATGTGGTGAATGTCAGAACTGCGCTTGCCATTGGAGTAAAGGTGAGCTTGCTTTCTTTTCTCATGGATTCTGATAAACTTATTTGTCTAGAAAGCATTCCTGAGACCTGTCTTCAACTGCTTATTAGGCCAGAGATAGCATAGTCAACAAGACTATTGATGAGATCCTGAAGGATAGTAAGCTGGTTGGCAATGAAGTAACACCAAGTCCAGTAACATGTTTGGACTAAAAAGCTTGTACTTCTGGGCGTGAGACATCCCAGAATCATCTCATAGATGGGTTAACATGGACATAGAGCAAAGAAGTTTTAGAAGGGATCGAGTATCTTAGCAAATTGTGGCAATATCAATCTAACCCTGACATTTGGAGGACTTTTTTCAGAAATTAGTCATGGGAAATAGGACAGGCTATTTGTTTGGTCCGTGCGACATTGTTTGAATAGTGAACCTAGATGCCCATTGTGATCTTGATTTTCTGCTGTGTCCTGCTCTACTTATAAAACTCCATTGTAAAAACTCCAATGTAAAAAGATGTTGGAATCCTTGTTTATTGGGTACAACTTTTTCTTGAGGCTCTACAACGGCCCATTATTTTTTCTTGTTTTGCTAGCAGTTCTGGTTGTGTTGGCTTATCGTGTGGTCACTAACATTGTGTTGGCGATTGTGGGCTAGTGTTGTTATATGTTTTCGTTTTTGTATCTATCTGTTTATTCCTTCTTTGTTATACACTAGACTGACGCTTTAATGTGTTCTCTTTTCTTTAAAGAAAAACATTGAAGGCTAAAGAATATAGGAGTAGGAAACATTCTCAATCTATCACTACATCACGACACAGATCGTTTATTTGTCGAGAATCAGCCAGCAAAAAGTTATTAAATAGGTACTCCTTCCGTTCCAAACTGTAAATCGTTCTAGATTTTCTAGATATATTATAATACTTAGATATGTATATATTATGTCTAGATATATAGGTAAAGATACATGTCTTCTTGCCACTCTTGAAGTAGCGTGTCTGAGAAAACCAGGAGAAAATATGAAACAATATATAGCTCAACAAGTGAGACATGCATGTGCAATGTAGTGTACTTTCCAAAAAAAAGAGAAAATAATACTATATTATATGCTTGTCCATCTTGCCATTCTTGAAGCAGCTAGCGTGACGAGACTTTAGACGTAGCACTCGTAGAGCTTGATGTCCATCTGCAGCCTGAAGTAGTACAAGCCCTCGAAGGTGTCGGTGCGAAGGGTGGCGATGCCGCGCGCCATGAAGAAGTCGCCGGTGCCACCGACGACGGAGATGTCCCGCGTCTTCTCGGCGATGATGTCGGCGCCCATGAGGTTGAGCGTGCCCCTGTGCGCCGTGGAGTTGAACACGAGCGAGAAGGCGAACCACGCGCTCGGCGATTCCTTGTTGTCGTAGAAGTAGAAGCCCTCGGCGCGCGCCACCGGCTCCGACGCCAGCTCGTGCCCCGCCGTCACCACGTCGTTGAACACCACCACCTCGCCGAAGTAGCTGTCGTTGACGGACACCGACCTGCTCAGCAGCGTCGGCTGCGCCGCGACCGCCGACGTCGCGTTCGCCGTGTTGGTGCCGTCGTAGAGGATGTCGTGGTAGTAGACCGTCATCTTGTGGCACGGCTCGCCGTCGGAGCTCGAGACGAGCTTCTTGCGGCCATGGGCGACGTCGCCGGAGGTCAGCCCAAGCAGCAAGATGACGACACTGATCAAGCTAAGCTTGTAAGATGGCGTGAGGCCCTGCATTATTACTGTTAATATAATCGAAGGGTGCAACTCTGTATATAATAATGTCAGTGCTATAGAGAGACTTAGAGAGGCTTAAGCAGCTAGCTAGTTACTGGAGCAGCTAGCTCTCCTGTTTGTATTGTGTGTGATCTTGAGCCGTGCATTGCATATTTATAGAGCTGTTGTATATAGGAAGTGATCATATACAATCGAGGGCCCATTTTTTAAATACTCGATCTCGCCCTGGACTTCACTGGCTTGGAGCACGATGCTCTTTAGCCGCTTAGTTCAGGGCTGCTTTAGTGTTTGCTGCGGTGCTTGTTCCTCATTACGGTCGCTAAGTAGGCTTCTGTAATCACAACCATGTGAGCTTTGGGGGTGTTTGGCTCGGTAATCACCAATTACTGTCCAAGCTTTGTATTGTTAAACTCTACTTCAGCTTAATGAAAAATGTGCTTCGGCACAGTCGCAAAAAAAGATACTTGGATCTCATATTCATCTCATTCTACGTGCGTGTGGATGTGGATCGATGTGTAAGTTACTTTATAAGTTTCACCCTAACCCTAACACATATGAACTGAGGTAGATCCGAGGACATTCAAACAAACCCCGCGTTCGAATTGTTGCGGAACTGGTTTGAACGATGTTCTGAGTAAAAAGGGACAGAAGCGATCAGAATACACAGGCATATCAGCATCTATGCATGGTTGGTACGGGTACCATCTCAATATGACGTACGCGTGACTTTATTATTATTATAGGTAGCTACATCACATATAATGAAAATGACCATTCAAATTATTTGCTGCCCTTATCGTTGTCAATAAGTAGGTCTGCGCAAGCGTCAAATAGGAAAGTATCTGTGCACACGCAGCATGACATTGGGATAGATAGGCAAAGAATCTATCCCAATGCAATGCCATTCTTTACATAGATTCTTTACTTTGGTATTTTTCTTTCCAGACTCATACGTGTTAATTAGAACAAATGTGGCCAAAATTTGATGTATTTCACGAGGATGACCAATGAGAGAAAAAACTACTTCAATCAGCCAAAACTATCACAAAATCATGAAATCGTATAGTCTTTTAATATTTTGCAAGCTATTGGGTCAACCGCTTCCTTGATTGATGCATGAGAAGCTCGCAAGCAACACAGGGGACATAGTTTGGATTTTTTTTTCTTCACAAGAAGCTTGTCACAAGCCGAAACAAATATGGTCATAATATGATTCATAAAATGCTGTATATGCTTGGTCCATTGACATGGAGAAGCATCTACCCGGTGCTTGTCAAAGTGATATTTCTCCCAAGTTCGGTGCTACCACATCAATGAAACCCCTATAACGTGTAGCATGGTTATTAGAGCATCTCCAATAGCTCTTTAAAACAATTGCTTAATTAGTTGTTTACTAAAAAGTAAAAAACACCCCTGTGACAATTTTGTATCTGAATTCCCTAAAGATAAACACTTGGCAAATATCTTGCTAAATTTCTAGGTATGCGTGTGTGTTCCGCACTTGGGGCTAGTTTTTTCTTCCCGCACACGGTTTTATTTGCCCAGTGCCAATTTATTTTATTTCTCTAGCCATTCATAGGCATGCCAAGACGATCTGCCTCCTTGGCTGGGGCTACGGTTGGCTGGGATTGGCGCCGACGGGCTTGTGGCGACATGTGAGGAAACCATTGTGTGGTGAACCTAGCGTATGTAGCATCCAAATATTGTAAACTATTATGGAAAGATAAAAGTTGGACCTGCTAGTTTCTTTTGTTCACCTGGTATATTCATTGATTTAGTAATTGATCTGTATGAAACTATTGAGGGTGTTCTTGGTAATCTAGTCACGCTTGATTATTTTGAAAAGCTTTTTACTTGTATGGCCCGGCCCTGCATTATTACTGTTAATATAATCGAAGGGTGCAACTCTGTATATAATAATATCAGTGCTATAGAGAGACTTAGAGAGGCTTAAGCAGCTAGCTAGTTACTGGAGCAGCTAGCTCTCCTGTTTGTATTGTGTGTGATCTTGAGCCGTGCATTGCATATTTATAGAGCTGTTGTATATAGGAAGTGATCATATACAATCGAGGGCCCTTTTTTTAAATACTCGATCTCGCCCTGGACTTCACTGCCGCTTAGTTCAGGGCTGCTTTAGTGTTTGCCGCGGTGCTTGTTCCTCATTACGGTCGCTAAGTAGGCTTCTGTAATCACAACCGTGTGAGCTTTGGGGGTGTTTGGCTCAAGCTTTATATTGTTAAACTCTACTTCTGCTTAATGAAAAATGTGCTTCGGCACAGTCGCAAAAAAAAATACTCGGATCTCATATTCATCTCATTCTACGTGCATGTGGATGTGGATCGATGTGTAAGTTACTTTATAAGTTTCACCCTAACCCTAACACATATGAACTGAGGTAGATCTGAGGACATTCAAACAAACCCCGCGTTCGAATTGTTGCGGAACTGGTTTGAACGATGTTCTGAGTAAAAAGGGACGGAAGCGATCAGAATACACAGGCATATCAGCATCTATGCATGGTTGGTACGGGTACCATCTCAATATGACGTACGCGTGACTTTATTATTATTATTATAGGTAGCTACATCACATATAATGAAAATGACCATTCAAATTATTTGCTGCCCTTATCGTTGTCAATAAGTAGGTCTGCGCAAGCGTCAAATAGGAAAGTATCTGTGCACACGCAGCATGACATTGGGATAGATAGGCAAAGAATCTATCCCAATGCAATGCCATTCTTTACATAGATTCTTTACTTTGGTATTTTTCTTTCCAGACTCATACGTGTTAATTAGAACAAATGTGGCCAAAATTTGATGTATTTCACGAGGATGACCAATGAGAGAAAAAACTACTTCAATCAGCCAAAACTATCACAAAATCATGAAATCGTAGTCTTTTAATATTTTGCAAGCTATTGGGTCAACCGCTTCCTTGATTGATGCATGAGAAGCTCGCAAGCAACACAGGGGACATAGTTTGGATTTTTTTTTCACAAAAAGCTTGTCACAAGCCGAAACAAATATGGTCATAATATGATTCATAAAATGCTGTATATGCTTGGTCCATTGACATAGAGAAGCATCTACCCGGTGCTTGTCAAAGTGATATTTCTCCCAAGTTCGGTGCTACCACATCAATGAAACCCCTAGAACGTGTAGCATGGTTATTAGAGCAGCTCCAATAGCTCCTTAAAACAATTGCTTAATTAGTTGTTTACTAAAAAGTAAAAAACACCCCTGTGACAATTTTGTATCTGAATTCCCTAAAGATAAACACTTGGTAAATATCTTGCTAAATTTCTAGGTATGCGTGTGTTCCGCACTTGGGGCTAGTTTTTTCTTCACGCACGCGGTTTTGTTTGCCCAGTGCCAATTTACTTAATTTCTCTAGCCATTCATAGGCATGCCAAAGACGATATGCCTGCTTGGCCGGGGCTGCGGTCGGCTGGGACCGGCGCCGACGGGCTTGTGGCGACATGTGAGGAAACCATTGTGTGGTGACCCTAGTGTATGTAGCATCCAAATATTGTAAACTATTATGGAAAGATAAAAGTTGGACCTGCTAGTTTCTTTTGTTCACCTAGTATATTCATTGATTTAGTAATTAATTTGTATGAAACTATTGAGGGTGTTCTTGTAATCTAGTCACGCTTGATTATTTTGAAAGAGCTTTTTACTTGTAGGGCCCTAGAAAAATGCAACTTTCATGTATAGCCTAATTTTTTTAACTTACTTTTATGGCCCTAGAAGGAAATTTTCTTACTTCGGTGGCCTTCCGTCAAGTCTGTTAGGGGATCGGTTAGTCTCCCCACTAGTACATATGCGAAACAAGTCTGTTAGGGGATCGGTTAGTCTCCCCACTAGTACATATGCGAAATGTCTAGATTACCCTTCTGATCTTCCTCCCTCCAACTGAATCGGACCGAGCCTGGGGAAAAGACCGAGCGCTTCTGACGTTAAGCCGCTTTAGTCGTTGTCGGCGCTGCTGACCGGGCTGGTCCGTGTCAGCCAGCCAGCTCGACGCAGCACCAGCGGCCCCTCCCGCTGTCATCCCGGCCTTCCAACAAGGCGGAGGAGCAGCCCGGCCCGGGTTTTCCAAATGACCGGAGGGCAGCAGCCAGCGCAGACGGGCGCCTCCAAATGCTCAAGCGTCGTGGGTTCTCCATTCATTATGTAAAGAGCAGTGCACATCAAATAGAAACTTGTGGATTTACAGTTCTGTAAGATTCACAGTTCACCTGATATCTTGATGTAGATGATTTTTTGAAATTTGCATCGGGCCATTACGAAACTATGTTTGAGGAGTTAGTATGGCATGTCTGTGACCATGTTGTTCTAGACAAATTTATCTATTTATCAGAAAACTGCATGACGGACAGTTGTTGCCTATTATTTCAGAAAAAAATGCATGCTGATGCAGTTCTGAAAATGCTACTGACAACCGAGTGTGCAGGAGTGCTTACCAGTGTTTGTAAAATTCTAGCATGGTGAATTTTACTTGTTGTTTTGTTTTCAGTAATATTCCTGTTAGTTAGCTAAGAATTTTACCATGTCTATTGTTGCCATGAAGTGTTACTTGCTGTTTTACCTTTCCAGACAATTAAGTTATGTTACTTAGCATGGTGAATTTTACATGGTCCTATTTCTTGCAGTTATGGCTACCTAGATAAAATGGTGAACTATTTTCTCTCAAATGAACTAGATAAAATGGTGAACTATTTTCTCTCAAATGAACTTGATTTCTGACCTGTAGCTATTGTTCTCTGAACTTGATTTTAGACCTATTGCTGATGTTGTTCTGTGAACTTGATTTCAGAGAAAATGTGAACTCTTTTCTCTCAAGTGTGAACTATGTACATTTTTCTCAAGCATGGCACAAGGAAAGCATAGGAGTCAATCTAGGTACATTTTTTATGTGTTGTTCTGTTACTCAGAGAATAAAAATGTTGCTGTTATAACAGGAAGTGAATTGTTCTTTCTTACAAGTATCTAAAA